CTAGAGAAACTTAGCAATCTATATAGTCACTACTCTTCATCAATACACAATGTTAATATTGACGTTGAGGAGAAGGAAGACGTGGTGACTGAAGTAATAAGAGAAACAAAGTCATCAAAGAATGAATTAGCTGCTCTATCAAAAACAGTGAGTTTTTCATATTTAAAAATATAAGGAATACTGATTTTAGTTTTGAGTTATAAATAGTAAAATATTCTCTCTGCTAATAATTAAATAGCATTTAGCTGATTTTCTGCCTATATTAATTTTCTGTTGCTGCATAACCAATTACTACAAATTTAGCATCTTAAAACAGCACCATTTATTACCTCAGCATTTCTCAGCGTCAGAAGTCTAGGCACAGCATAGCTTAGCTGGTTCCTCTGTTGCAGGTCTGGCAAGACTGAAATCAGGATGTCATTAGCCTGCCATTTCTTTTGGGAGATTCTAGGATCAATCTACTTTCAGGCTTGTTTATTTTTTTTTCTTTTGTAATTGACATAATAATTGTACATATTTATGGGCTATGGTGTGATACTTCAATACCTGTATATGAAGTGTAATGATCAAATCAGGGTAATTAGCATATCCATCTTTTCTAACATTTTTCGTTTCATTGTATTAAGAGCATTCAAAATCTTCCGTTCTATCTATTTGAAAATATACAATGAATTATTAACTATAGTCACGCTACAGTGCTGAAGAACACTAGAACTTGTTCCTCCTATCTAGTTGTAATTTTGTATTCCTTAACCAGCCTCTTTCCATCCTCTCCCACCCCGCTACCCTTCCCAGCCTCTAGTTACTATTACTAGAGACCATTCTACTGTTTACTTCCATGAAATCAACTTATTTAGCTTCCATGAATGAATAAGAACACGCAGTATTCATCTTTCTGTGCCTGGCTTATTTCACTTAACATAATGTCCTCCAGGCTGATCTATGTTCCCACAAATGACAGGATTTCATTTCTTTTTATGGCTTTAATAGTATTCCATCATGTATATATACCACATTTGCTTTATCCATGCATCCATTGATGGACACTTAGATTGGTTCCATATCTTGGCTATTATGAATAGTGCTGCTATAAACATGGGGTGCAACTATCTCTTCAACAAACTGATTCCCTTTCCTTTGGATATATTCCCAATAGTGGGATTGCTGGATCATATGGTAGTTCTATTTTAAGTTTTTTTTAAGGAATCTCCATACTGCTTCCCTTAGTGACTATATGAATTTACAGTCCCACCAACAGCGTATGAGTTCCCTTTCTTCTGCATCTTCACCAGCACTTGTTATTTTTTGTATTTTCGGTAATACTCATTCTAGCTGGGGTACTCAGTTTTGACATGATTTAGTTATTGTGGTTTTAGAACTGAGTCCCTTATTTACTTGGCAGCTGTCAGCCTTGGATCATACTCAGTTTTTAGAGGCCACCTGCATTTTCTGGTTGTTAGTTCCCTTCATCTCTAAAACTAGCAATGGTGTATTGATTCCTACTCATGCTTGGAACCACTCTGACCTTCCATTATGACTCATTATTCCTGAAGATGAACCTTTCTTCTTTTGCTATATCTCTTCACTAGAGTAAAAGAAAATAATAAAATAGTAAA